GGTAGGTTTTATAAAATAGTAAAATAATATCTTTTATTTCTCTCCATTTAACGACCACTCTTTATAACGCCGAAAAATGTTCAGTCCCTTAAGTGCCGTTATATAGAGTTTACGCTGTAATTCTGATATTACAATATTGTAGTTAGTTTTTAGTAATTTATGTTTTGACTGTACCTTATAATTTAGTGTTTCATAAGAAGTCGCCGTAAAAAATATACTATTTATACCATATAAAATCACAAAGTTGGCATTAACTTCTTGTATAACCCATAGTTGAAAAAGTTTTAATTAAAAAAATCATTCTGAATAATCCCTACAATCAAATTTTCAAAGTTTCAAGAACCCTGTGTAATTAGGTAGCATTGCATTTAAAAATTAAGCTATATATATATATATTTTAAAGTATTTTTATTATTTCAACATCAACAACGTTCAAAATAAAAGTAAAAATCATTTAACATTCTGTCGAATAAAAATAAAGTACAAAACGTATACTAGTAAGATCTTACATTACACTGTGTTAATTATTAGATATTATAAAAGAAGGTAATTATAGAGACATTAACAAAAATTCGAGAACAAATACTTATAAAATTCGCAAATCTAGTAAGTACATTATTGTAATTTATACTTAGATATGCAGTAAAAAACAGATCAATGTCCGTAATTACAGTTATTGCTAAAACTGCGGGTATATTCCATTCTAGCACGGTTAGAATTCAAAAAATTCATATTGCACGATTGTATTATTCTACAACAAACAACAGAATTGTCCAACAGATCCATTGCAAGACTGCTCTTCATTTTCTCTTCGAACAAAGAGCATTCAGTGTCTTCATCTTTTTCTTCTACTGACAAAATACATCTGTATCCGAACCATTTCAATTGATCGAAAACAGTCGTGTTGTTCTGATTAGCCAACTGCACCAATGCTAATTTCTTTTCTCTCGTTAAAAACGGATATATTTGCTTCATATAACACAAAACCTTTTGAAACAAACTTTGCAATATGTATTTCTCTTTTACTTGCTTCTCTTGGTAACAAATTTTAATTTCGTTAGATTGAAACTTATTTATGGAGGATGACAGTGTTGTCTCCGTTTCGAGACCTAATAGGGTTTTATTCAACAAAGCGATTTCTTCCTTAGAGAAATAAGGCTTTCCTAAATGATTTTCCTTACAACAATCATTTTTTTCGACGGAATATGGAACAACAGCGTTCTTAACGTATGGCTTTGTACATTCGTTTAAGAACGTTTGAGATCTGGGGAAAAAACAAGGGGCATGGACATTAACCCTCTTATTATTCTGGTTACTTTCCTTGTCATGTTCGACTATTTTACTGTAGGTGCTGTTAACAACGCATACGCATTCCTGTTGAATTTCGTTTGTGACGTGCATAACTTTGCGTTCATATTCTCGTACTGATAACATTTCGAATGTCGATAAATGTGGATTTGTGGAAGTTAATTCAGATGACCATAAACAGTCTTTACTGTAATAAAAAACAATTCGAATATGTATGATTTTTGATGTTGGATTTCCACCAAAAAATGCCAAACTTTATAAAATTTTAACCTAATAAATATCTTTTCGGTTATTCGATTATTGTAGCTTTATTTCATTGTAATTATGCATTTTTGCATGTCTTAAGCTGATGTGCTATTTAAAATTATGGAAAATTTTCTTGGATTGCTTATAGCTATTATGCTCATACTAAAAAAAAGACTGTCACAAACGGACAGTCAAATAATGCGAAGGTGATATTACTCAATTGAGGGTTAAGTTAAGAGCGATTCATTTTATTATTGTAGTACAATAAATTCCACGAATTCCCGGTACAATGTAGGAAGAGTAGACGACCAGGTGTTACGATCCTATTACAATTTAAGGCTGTTTGGGAGGTACAATCGGAGACAAGAGTACATAAAATTAGAAATTCGTGATTAATTAGGTTTTGCAGCATATCATGAGGTAAACAAATACTATCTATACTAAAAAAAAGTATACGGTTTGAGAGAAAATTTGGAATTTGACCAAAAACTTTGAATAAAATAAGAAATAACGAATAATATGGAAAATTTTTAACTGACTTTTGGCAGTGAATATGCCTTGATTTCAACTTCGAAACAAAAAAATATTTAGTTTCAATCT